ATAGAATAAAAAAAGGTTTTAATTTATTGTTCTATGTTTTTAAATAATAAAAATAAAAAAATAAGCTATATTTATTCTTCTTCTAAGAATCTTAAAAGGTTCCTCATAAGAAATAAGCTTCAAGAGGTTCTTGTGACTTAATGTTTTATTTTTTTTTAATAATGAAATATTAATTAACATTTAAATAATATGCTTATAACATTTTACTACAATCTAAATTATCAATGTAATAATAAAGTCAATAATCAAATTATATTTTTGGAAGATCTTAAAGTTATTTTTTTTATATACTTATTGCTGTATTGACATTTCAAATGTTTGATTTATTTAATAAAGAAGACATTTAAAATGTCTTCTTTATAAATAAATCAAACATTTTAATGTTTTATATTTTAAATGTGTTTCTTTTGTTTAATTTTTTCTGTGTTTGATTGTGAAAACCCATCTACTAACATATTAATCTGTTTTTGATTGTGAAAACCCATTTACTAACACATTAAAACAGTGTACAAAAAGTAATGTTACTTTATAACATCACTTTTTGTACACTGTTACTAGAATTATTAGAATTTTTAGTAACTGTTACTAGAATCTGTATTCTACTTATGTAGAGCTTTCTAATATTGCCAGGCATTTTATTATAAGACCAATGGCTAGTCTATAATAATTGATTGAACTATGAGATTAAATCAATAAATAATCATTAAGAACAATTAAAATAAAAATCAATTTAAATCATCATTTTTATTGAATAATTTAGATATTTAAATCACAATTTAAATCGATTTAAATGAACTGATTTAAATCAGAACAACCCTGTATATATATCATCTTTCTGAGGCAGAGGGACATTATTCTTTTGTTTTATTATTTTTTAATTTAATTTTATTGGATATTTTTCATATTTAGTTTGCGTACAACAGTTAACAACTTTAAGCTTATACATTAACTTTAGTTATAACTTAATTATTAATGATTTGATTTATAGATTTTTATAGCAATACAAGATTGAATTTAGCAGAAGGCTAAACTTCTGATCTGAAGGAAAAAAAGGAAGACAGCAAAAATGATCAGCCAAAATAAAGATTGAAGAGACATAAAATTGTGCCTTGGTATAGTTGATTCTTCAGATTATTTTAGTTTCCTCAATTTCTTACTTAAACAAAAAATATTATTAAACATTGGGATTTACCTGTAACTCCAAACTCTTTGCAGAAGTTTAATGTTTGCTCTGAGAAGTGGAATGAACAAAATTTATTAAGCGATAAGTTTTAATTCAAAAGTCTTTTTGTCTGATAATTGGAAATCTTTATTCATAGCTTTAACTTTTACAATTTCTAAAGACTTTCATATATTACGGTCAGAGTGTTAATTAATATTTTATTGTGTAATAATCAACATATCAAAGCTTACAACAACTTTGAAATCCATATGAAATCAACTCTTGGGAAAAAAACTTAGTATTCATGAGTTTATAGTTTTAACAGTTGCCAATGGTTTATTATTATTCATTATATAAACGTTTATTTAAATTTTTCTAATAGACAAAGTTAATACATTATTTTTTTTAGATGATATTATTTTTAAAAATTGTATTATAATTAAAATTCAGACTTAAAATATTTAAAAAAAAATTATTTACAAACATTGGACAAGGTTCGTACTGTACCTAGAAAACCTGGAAAGTTAGTTAATTTTGGCTCAAAACCTGGGAAAGTCAGGGAATTTTTTTTTTTTTAGATAGTCATGAAAAAGTCAGGAAACTCTGATTGAGAAGTTACAAAAGTTTTTTTAATGCTACCCATTTATTTTTTCTGAAACTTATGTTTTTCTTAGTGTTCATTATTAATTAATGATTTGCCTGAGAGAATATCATTGCCATTAAAAGCAATGGAGAATTCAAGTATTCTAGAAGAAAAAAGACAAGAAAATACTTAAGCAAATGGTAAATATTTTTTTATAATCTGTTTATGCATTTTGATAACTTTGTGCTGTTTACATACTTTAAATAAAATACTCTTTGAAGGTTTTTTCTACAGGAGGTTTTATATTAATTTAAGTCTAACTAAAAATAACTTTTATAACTGCCAGGTTGTATATTTTTGCAGGTTAATTATTTAGGACAAATTAGAGTTAAAGACAAAGAAGACTGTATATTTTATTTACTAAGAATAGTTTTTAAAAATGGCCTAGCTATAAAATTAAACTATGCGGGAGAGGACAAAAGATCGGAATAGGAAAAATGTTGATTGCATATATTACTATTGGTAAATGGTTTAGAAAAGTTTATTTTTTCAGTTTCAATTTTGCATTACACAATTACTTTCAATTTTTTCTTTGGTGCATAATTAAAAATTTTTTTTTTTTTTGCAGAAGCTGTGAAGTCAAATAAGAATGGCTTATTCAGGAATAATTATAGTGGAAGAAAAGATGATAGTTGTGGGCACCAAATATCATATGCTAAACACGATTCAATAAAAAGTAGCTTAGCCAATATCAAAACTCCATAAATTTTATTTAAAATTTTTTAATTTAAAACTCATTGTTTTAATTTTTGGTTTATGTTTGGTGTTTGCAATATGTATATTTAACGGAGATATTATGTAAATTAAATAAATAAATTTTTACACTTGTACCATACATTTTTATTTCTCTATAAATTTTAATGTAGCGATGCAAATCATATATTTGTAACAACGATCTAATGTTGCATAAAACGTTAGGCCAATATACAACATTTGTTGTTGAAATTCAGTATATGGTTAATTATTAATAACATTTACCTAACATTTTATATAAAATTGGTCCAATGTTACATACGATGTAGGGCCAATGTTATATACAACATTAGGTCAATGTTGAATACAACGTTGAGAAACGTTGTATACAACATTGTGCCAATGTTGTACACAACGTTGGGCCAATGCCTAACCAATGCTCAAACATGCATTGGGCCGCCATGCATTGGCCTAACATTGATCCAATGTAAGCTTGCTGTCTAGAATATTTGAAAAACATGAATGTTCCTAACAAATAAAAAATGATTAACATATGACCTAAAAATACAAAATTGAAAAGAAAATACATTCAAAAAAAGAAAACTGAAAAAAAGAAAACTCAAATAAAGTAAAAAAAAAGAGAGTTTAAAGTGAAAAAAATGATAAACATTTTAAAATGATTTTATTTCTCTTTTTTGCTGTTGGAATTTTTTACTTCATTTTTAATACAAAACATAAAAACACAAATAACATTGATAAAATGATACAAACAAACAAAACAAAACAAAAACATAAAAGCAAAAATATTATTGATAAATTAAAAAAACAAACAAAACACAAATATCATTGATAAAATGATTCAAACAAACAAAACAAAAAAGAAAAAATATCAAAAACAAAAACATAAAAGCAAAAATATCATTAATAAAATGAAAAAAAAAAAAAAAAAAAAAAAAAGAAAACAAAAGAATTTTAAGCAAATAAAGCAGTAAAATTAAAATGCTTCTATTTTTTTCTTCTTTTTTTTTCTTCTACTAATCTTAAAATTACAATTTTTACATTCATAGATACAGTATGAAGGTTACAACAAAAAAATTTTCTTCTTTTTCTTAAAAAATAATTTTAATTCTATATCTAAAAAAAAAAAAAATACTGACAAACAAGATTGCTTCATGAAGATATAAGTCAAGTACTGTATTACTAGAGAGGAGATTTTGTAGAACTAAGGCTGATTCTATCAGCCTTAGTTCTACAAAACATTAGTAGAATGCAGTTTACATCATTTGCAAAATGATGTAAACTGCATTCTACTAATGTTTTGACAATCAAGATATAAAAAAGTATCAAGATATTTAAAAAAAGCTTTTCATCAAGGAAAAATCTGAAGCAAAGAATATTTTTATATCAGAGTGAACTGTTGTTTACCTTATAAAAAAAATTTTTTATATCAGATATGCACAGGACTTTCTATTAAAGTCAAAAATTACATTTTCCAAATCTTTTTTTTTTTAAATTTTGTGAAAAAGACTTCAATGAAAAGTCCTTTTTACAAAATTTGTATACTTTACATATTACTAGATAATTTTTTTATACTTTACATATTACTTTTGGGCCTTTCCATTTCTATGCATGATTTTTTATTTTATTTTATTTTAGCAATTAAAAGCTAGGACTTGATGCAATAAGCATACTATTTTGATTTTCTTAAAAAACAATTAAAACAAAAATATTTTTATCATATTTTAGGCTATCTGAATAAATTAAATATACACATTTTTACAATTTTATTTTTTTTGAGTAATAATAACGCTACATTTTGAAAAATATACAATAATTTTCAAAACGCCATACTCTAGCTAGAAATAATTGATGACTGCCATTTCTCATCGAAAATATATTAAATATAAATCGTAGAAGTATAATATTTCATTTGAAATACTCACAAGCAATTTATTTTCATAAAAATAACTACATGATAGTGACAAATACGCAACATCCGTGCGTGATCATTCATAAACTGCACTTAAACGACTGCTGTGACTCTATGATTCATAATGCAATCCTGTAACTTTCTGGAAATCTTTACTAATGTTTAAAATATTATTAAAAAAAAAAGTATACCGGTGAAACTTATATTTTCCGAGGAATTAAAGTTTATTTATCTAGTAACTAAAATAGAAGCTTTTCTGTTTTGTGCATGATTTTATTTCAAACTTTATTTATTCTTTGTTAACATTACTAATGCTTACTATTTTTTGTTTACAAAATATTTATATTGATTAGAATTAAATGAGAGTAAATTGGAGATCGCTAGTTTTTTTTTTATGAAAATAAAAGTAAAAACATATATGAGTTTCTGTGCGTAATTTTTTGGAAATGCCCTTTATCAATTTAGTAAACTACTAAATATTAAAATGTTTTTTTCTCTGTTTTTTTTATTTTTTTCTCAATCATTTTTTTAAAATTAGTTCATGTCTCTAAATGATTATATTTTAATTTTACCTCCAAATTACTCCATTCCCAGTAAGGTCTTTCACCATATGACATTATCTCCCATAAAACAATGCCATATGACCAAACATCAGAAGCTGTGGTAAATTTTTTAAACTGGATGGCTTCTGGTGACGTCCAACGAACAGGTATCTTACTGCCCTAAAATATTTATTGTGTATAACAACTAAAATATATATTAAAAAAGGTAATGAATAAAAAAAAAAAGACAATGAAAAAACATAATTTAAAGAAAAATAAAAAAAAAATATATATAAAGCATTTATAAATAAACTAAAAACCTTTGCTTCAAGTTGGTCTTCAACTTTAATTTCAAGACTCATTCCAAAATCAGCAATTTTACATGTCTTTTTTTCATTCACAAGTATATTTCGTGCTGCCAAATCCTGTTTTGAAAAAAAAAATTGATAAAAATTCTAATATTATACCGCTAATAAAATACCCACACAGTTTGATAGGTGTGGCATTAAGTTTTTTTTATGGGTTATACTAATTTAAATGAAAAGTGATACTATGTTTAATTTAGATGAAGAGTGACACTATGTTTAGTTTGATTAAAAAAAAAAAAAAGCTTTCATAGTTAATGTTATCTTTTATTTTGTTTATTGTTTTCTATGATGTTTTCTATGATGTTTCTATGACGTTTCTATGACGTTTCTATGATGTTTCTATGACGTTTCTATGATGTTTCTTTTTCTTTTTCTGCAAACTTTCTTTCTAACTTACTTTTTCTAAATAATATTAATCCCTCAAACCTCACATTTAGCAATCAGTCTAAAATTTGGCCATAGAAATATTGCCCAATTTTCATAAGTTTGCATTTATTTAACATTCATTTTGGTAATTCTGGTTAATAATTTTGATAACAGTCTAGAATAGCCCTCGCATAAAAAATCTAGACCAATTTTTTTATGCATTACTATTAAACATCTCAATAAAGGCCTAAAAAAAATTAATGTTGATTATTTTACTTAATAAATCTAAAATACTTAGTCCAAAAAATTCACAAATTTCTGCTTCATCTTAACTGCCCATTGATTTTCTTTTTCCAAGTTTTCTTATTAAAATAAAGTAAAGTTTTTCTGCAATATTCCATTATACGAATTATCTCTTCTGAAATAACTGTGTGGATTTTTGCAAACTCAATTGTTTTATCTAAAATATCTGCAGTTACTGAGGGGTAAAAATCATTAATGTTAACAATAATTTTATTTCTAAGTATACTAATAATTTTTTCCAATTTAATTTTGCTGACATGTCCAATCTCACTTTTTGAGGTAACCAATAAGGAAGTTTGTTTTGAAAATTTGACTTATGGTTTTTAAGTGTTATAAAAGCTTTATAAAAAAACGTGGTATGTAAATGTGTTGTTTCCCCTAAGAATATATATATATATATATATATATATATATATATATATATATATATATATATATATATATATATATATATATATATATATATATATATATACATATATATATATATATATATATATATATATATATATATACATATATATATATATATATATATATATATATATATATATATATATATATATATATATATATATATATATATATATATATATATATATATATATATAGATCGGCTATTTTTAGGTAAATTTCGAAAAATTCAAGGGAAAATAACCTGTTTTTGTTAAAAAATTACATTTGATCAGGAAGCTTTAAAAAACTATTTTGAGCGCTGATATATATATATATATATATATATATATATATATATATATATATATATATATATATATATATATATATATAGAGAGAGAGAGAGAGAGAGAGAGAGAGAGTAAACCGGGATAATTTTGCCATCAATTCTTTAAATTATTTAAGCTTGAAAACCAATGCAATGCATGATTTTATTGTACATTAGATTGAAGTGGAAAGGCCAGGGCTAACGCTCTTGACGTACCTAAAACTTTCTCAACAGAGTTTGGCATGCTGGTATTCTTTATAAGCTTGCTTTATATTGTGTATTTGAGAAAATTTTTGAAATTATCAAATTGTTCCTTTCAAACAGCTTTATCACACCTTCAAAGGCCAACACTCTTCTTTGTTTCCAGTAATTACTGGTGAACCTCAAGGTTCTATCCTTGATCCTGTTTTGTTTATTATCTACAAGGTTGCTTTTCTTTATTGTGCTCACCATTTTCTTACTCCTGATTCCATTCCCTACAAATCTCTTATTCTCCCCTATATGGAATACTGTTGTCATATTTGGACTGGTTCTTCTAATGGTGCTCTTTCTCTTCTATTCTATTATTCTAGGTCCAAAAATGCATTGTAAATGCAGTTGGACTAGCTCTATCTGCAAAGCATAAGCCTCTATTCCATTGTCGTAAAGTTGCATCTCTTTTTTTTCTACAAAAAATTTTGGTTTACTAAAAATCATTAAGCAAAGTAAAATAAAAAACTTTTTAATTTACAAATGACTTAAAGAATTTTTAAAATTTTAAATTTTCTACATTTCACTAACTAATAAAATTCTAAGCATGAGCCTCTATTCCATTGTCATAAAGTTGCATCTCTTTTTTTTCTACAAAAAATTTTGGTTTACTAAAAATCATTAAGCAAAGTAAAATAAAAAACTTTTTAATTTACAAATGACTTAAAGAATTTTTAAAATTTTAAATTTTCTACATTTCACTAACTAATAAAATTCTAAGCATGAGCCTCTATTCCATTGTCGTAAAGTTGCATCTCTTTTTTTTCTACAAAAAATTTTGGTTTACTAAAAATCATTAAGCAAAGTAAAATAAAAAACTTTTTAATTTACAAATGACTTAAAGAATTTTTAAAATTTTAAATTTTCTACATTTCACTAACTAATAAAATTCTAAGCATGAGCCTCTATTCCATTGTCGTAAAGTTGCATCTCTTTTTTTTCTACAAAAAATTTTGGTTTACTAAAAATCATTAAGCAAAGTAAAATAAAAAACTTTTTAATTTACAAATGACTTAAAGAATTTTTAAAATTTTAAATTTTCTACATTTCACTAACTAATAAAATTCTAAGCATGAGCCTCTATTCCATTGTCGTAAAGTTGCATCTCTTTTTTTTCTACAAAAAATTTTGGTTTACTAAAAGTCATTAAGCAAAGTAAAATAAAAAACTTTTTAATTTACAAATGACTTAAAGAATTTTTAAAATTTTAAATTTTCTACATTTCACTAACCAATAAAATTCTAAGGTATTTTTTTGGGTCAAGATTGACAAGAGCTTTTCTTACATTGCAAACTTTTGCTGATTAGTTGCCTGGCTATTGAATGGCTTTTGACGCTGCATTTCTTCTCTTCCAAGTTTGAATTTTCTTTTTCATTTGTAGTCTTCTTCTTTATCTTCTTCACTTTCAAACTTTTTTTTGCTTAAAATAGTTAGTTTTTAGCCTTCTGACTTTAGCTGCCTTTACTTGTTCAAAAATCAATGATTTTATGACGCATTTTAACTACAACTTTAGCTCGTTTTTTGGGCTTTTGATTGTGATATCTTATTTGCAGGTGTTTTTGAGGTTCTCTTTAGTTACTTGGCTTGCTAATTATATATTTTTTTGAACTAATTGAGGAGTGACGACTGATAGTAGTTGAAATACTGTTGATGAAATTGCTGGTGCTATTTGTGAAGACATTGATGGAAATGCTGGTGCTGTTTATGAAGACACTGATGGTGTTGCTGGTGCTACTTGTGAAGACATTCATGGTGTTTTTGGTAGTAGTATTGATGCTGGTGGATTAATAGCTCTTAAGGCTTGAGATTCTCTCTATTGACTTTGTTTAATTAATAGATAGAGGCCTGTATTTTCAAAACTACTGACTGCATGTGGTCTTTTGAGAGCCTGCTCTGATGAATATAATTTTGTAAGTAAAAGAGAAAACATCGGCTAACCAATGTTTCTAAACCCAGTTTTTTATAGTGCTGTTGAATAATTGCTCATCAAACAATTTTAATGTGACAGTAAATGAATTGAGTGGTTAGGAAAATGTTGAAAAATGGGATGATAAAATTATTTGGTTGATATAATTCTCTTGACTTAATTAATTATGAAAAGATATAATTATGACAGGATATAACTAATTATAACAGTATGATTATGTGTATATAATTATGTGTTTAAAAAGATATTCTCTAAAAGAAACATTTGATTAAGCAATAAGTATAAATATTTAGAAAATTTTAATTTTTATAGCTGAAAAACCAGGTTTTTTCCTGTTGATTGTCTAATTTTTAGTGTAATAAGGATAAATTGAATGTGGTAAATATTGCTAAAAATAACACAATATTTTCTAGTTTTAACATGTTTTGTAATATATTTATTACATTTTCACAAAATTTAATTTTACAATAAAAATTCTGAAATAAATATTAAAAACACGAGACTTTATAGAAAGTATACTTATATTTTAATATGATTTACATCAAGTCTATTACACAAAAATAGTCTAACAAGTCACTTAATAAAAAGGCCATCTTCGTACCAAGACAAACCCAGACAAAAACTATTTCTTTTTCTATTTTAAAGTATTAAAAAAAAAAAAGGTTCATGTCTCAAATGCAATACTCAGTACATAACTAACTTTCTGTTTATTTAACTAGTACATTTTTTCTTCAAAAAAATATGATAGATTAAAAAATAATAATAACAGGGAGAGAAGAACCAAACACCACCACCCCTTTTCCATACAGATGCAGACACCACTGTGATTAAAAATATACTTATTAAAAAGCTGAAAATTTCAGGTAAAAAATGGAAATAATAAAAAAGGCAAAACAGAATTCCAATGTTTAAAAAACTCGAGTACCTATCAAAAAACATTTGACCTCTGGATAATGAGTCATTGTTTCTTATAGAAAACTAAAATGTTCAAACAAAAAAGTATAAAAGTCTTATTTCCCACTGCACTGATTAGAAGATTGTCAGAAAAAAATTGATGTACGACAGCAGGTGATTTTTTCTTAAGAACATAATAATGACATGTATCAAAAGAATTGTAAAATTATTTATATTTAATTATTACTTTTAAAATACACTAAAACAAATACTTACTCTATGAACAAATCCCATTTCTGAGAGATATTTCATCCCTGAAGCTACACCACGAGCCATTTCAAGTAACTGTTCTATGGTAAATTGCATGTCATGTTCCTTAATAACAATTAATAATTATAATTAGAAATTATAATTTATAGCTATTCAAACTTAATTACTTTTTTTTTCAATTATAGACTTCAAATATATTTAAAATTAAATTAAAAAATTTTTTTTTAAATTATATATTAAAATATATAAAATAAATAAATTAAAAAAAATTTACTTTTAAATAAGAGTCAAGAGCTCCATATTCCATATATTCTAACACAATTAAATTTGGTTCATCTAAAAATTTGTGACAAAGTTAAAGCTGCTTTATTTATAAGAAATTTTTTTTATTTTTAACTTTTAACACTACTCCTTCCATAAAAATACCTTTTAACACTACTCCTTCCAAAAATATGACATTTGGGTTTGAGAACTGTCCTAAAATAGCAGCTTCACTCAAAAAATCTTCACGATCTGATTCAGAAGCACCATTCTGTAAAAACAAACACACACAACTTTAGTTGATTAAGTTATTAAATGAAATTTGTTTGGAGGTAATTAATGATTTGATTTGAGAAGTAATGATTTGGAATGATTTCAGAATTCAAAGGTTTTGATATGTTTGTTATGTAAAAACCACCTCCCTAATATATACAAATAATTAATACAATTTGTTAAAAACAAATATGCATCAAATATAAAGTGAACATTTAGATCATCAGTACACTTCAGCACAAACTCTTTATAAGTTATAAAAACCACACATGTAACAGTTTGTGTGATGAGTTGAATCATGTCATTACATTGTCACTGTTTAAAACTTAGCTCACCAACAAAATCAGGTTCTTCAAGTTCATTAAATTGAATTCTTTAAATTTAAAACATATCACACATTGATGTTATGTATGTTACCAAAATGTTATGTTGATAGAAAATATGTCACACAGTGATGTTATGTGTTACCAAAATGTTATGTTTGTAGAAAATATGTCACACATTGATGTTATCTATGTTACCAAAACTTTATGTTGAAAATATCTGTTGCAAGAGTAGTTATGATATAAACTTTTTCAAACTTAAAATGGTTTCCTGAGCTTTAAGAAGATTTTGATTGGAAGATGTTTACAATAAACACACTCATTAAAAAAGTTAAAATTTAAACTGAGTTGATTTTTTTTTGTTTAACCTGTTTAACAGATTTTTAGTATAAACCCTGATTAACAACCTAAAGTTTAAATATATTAGGATTGTAGCTTGATGGCTGATTGATAGCTGATGGTAGATTGATGGCTGATTGATAGCTTACATATTCTTCCTTAATTTGTTCAATAGCTTAATATGATTTCTAACTTGATTGATAGATTATTTTGAAATATAAAAAATATAAAATATAAAAATTATTATATATTTTAATAATTAAATATTTTAATCTTTAAAATTGTAAAACTTTCAATTTAAAAACAAAACAAAAAAAATTGAAATTTTGAATATATAACAATTTTAAAGTACATTAGAAATCTTTATTTATATATGTAAATCATTTTTCTACATAAAAATGTTTTCCATTATGATAATTCATATCTAATAACATTTATAACTTATATAAATTATATAAAACTTTAAATGATATTTAATTGGTGATAGCATGGTGATGGCAGCCTCCAACATAAGTCAAGAATGTCACTTGTCCCACCAGAATTTTCTAAATTAAAAAAAAATTCTGTGTTTCTTGCCATTTGGCTAACTGCAACAAATGTTTTTACACCTGAAATATTAAAAATGTAAATTTTTTATTTAAATGTTTATGGTGGCTGAGGATTTTTTTTACTGATATTTGGTGACTTTTTTTTACTATATTTTTGTAATGAAAATTACTATTTCTATTCTTTCATTTTTCGCATTATTTTATTAAAGTAGGTTTTTTTATATTTTTTTGCAATATTTTATCTAATGCATGTTTTGTTCACTGCTCTTCGTATCTTTGTAATCTAGTTGTTAATGATCTCAACTCAGTTGTGCAAGTGAGCAATGCACTTGGTACAACCAAACCTTTGTGAAAAAGCACAAGTTACTAATGTGCCATTGTTTTGTAAATTGCCATAGTCTGTAGAGTATAAAAGAACTTGTATTTTTGGTGAAAACTTTGAGTAATTTTGCAATCAATTACAAAATTTTACACTATAAATATTGCAGTAATGCAGAGCTACAGGTGGTAACCAGGACAACAGGATAATTAAAATTACAAAATAATAGGTATCAGTTGGTAAGATAATTAGAAAATTATTAGTAGGAGAGTGTTTATGAAATAACTAAACAGGTTTTTAAATTGTAAGTTTCAAAGTATATTAGTATATTTTTAAACATACTCATTAAAAAAATCCATTCCATAAAATACATGGTTTTGTAAATTTTTCACCTTTGTATAAAAATATGAATATTAGATTTGCTTTTTTTACCATAAACAATATTTGTTTTACCATAAACAATATTTGTTTTACCATAAACAATATTTGTTTATATAAAGTATAGAAAAATCCAAAACATGTATGATTTAAGTTGATTAATTTGTACATTCTAATATTTTGTCACTATATAAAAAACTATACATTGATAAAAGAAAAATTTTTTATGTTCCTTGCCAGATGGACTATTTCAATTTAAAGAACTATTTAAAGATTTTGTTGAGGAGTTAAGTTTTAAACAGTAACAATGTATTCGTTGTTGAACTCATCACACAAAATGTTAAGTGGTTGTTTTTTATAACTTATAAAGAGAGTTTGTGCTCAAGTGTATTGATAAACTAACTGTTCACTTTATAAATGTAGGCTTTAAGTAAGTTTTTTTTTAATGGTTTAAAATTGTTTTAAACACAAACCTTTATCTTTATTTATTTTTATTCTGAAAACAATTAGATTCATAAAGAACAAATAAGGATAAAAAATAAAATAATTCTGAAACAGTTTAACCCATTGTTAGACATTCAAATCACTCCAGCTTCTGTTGCTAAAGTCATATCTCGGTTAAACTCTTCTACAACTTGTGGTCCAGACTCCATAGTCTTACAAAATTGTACTCCAGAACTCTCTTCAATTCTCTCTAAACGACTTAATAAGTGCTTGACTGAGTCTTGTTTTCCTGCCTGCTGGAAAATGGCATCTGTTCCAATTTTCAAAAATTCTGGTGAACATTATGACCCCTCCAATTATTGTGTGATCTTCTTTCTGTTATTAGCAAAGTCTTTGAGTCTTTGATAAAAAAATTTCTCACATCCTATCTTGAGTCAAAGAACTTACTGTAAGACAATCAATAAATCCTCTCACTCTATGGCTGACTTGATTCAATCCTCTCACTCTACGGCTGACTTGTTTAATGCTGTGACTGAAAGATTTTATCATGTATTAGATGGAGGTTTTCAACAAAGTTTGGCATGCTGGTCTTCTCCATAAGCTTGTTTTATATGTTGTATCTGGAAAAGTTTTTAAGATTATCACATCGTTTCTATCTAACCGCCTTATTAAAGTCATTCTTGAAGACCAATACTCTTCTTTATTTCTAGTAACTTCTGGGGTATCTCAAGGTTCTATCTTTGGTTCTGTTTTGCTTCTTATCTACATTAATGATCTTCTTGACAACCTTATATCTAAGGTAGCTCTTTTTGATGATGACTTTATACTTCTGTCTTAACAAAAAGTCTTCTCTTTTCGATTGCTTAGAACAGGCAGCCAATCTTGAATCTGATCTCACTTCTGTAACAGATTGGGGCTCACAGTGACTTGTAAATTTTAACTCCAACAAAAATCAGTTATTTACTGCAAAAAACATTGCAGTACTGTGGACATTCCTATATTAATGAATGGCAGCCCTCTCACTGAGTCCTCCTCTTTACGTCTTCTTGAATTGTTTACTACTGAGCTTTCATGGAAACCATATTTACAATTGATTGCTAAATTAGCATCTGCTAAGGTTGCTTCTCTTTATTGTGCTCACCATTTTCTCTCTCCTGATTCCATTCTTTACCTCTACAAATCTTCTATTTGTGCCTGTATGGAATACTGTTGTCATATTTGGGCTGGTTCTACTAATGATGCTCTTTCTCTTCTAAACAAGGTCCAAAAACGTATTGTAAATGTAGTTGGACCAGCTCTATCTGCCAAGCTTGAGCCTCTTTCCCAAAATTGCATCTCTTTTTCTTTTCTACAAATACTATCATGGTCTTTGCTCAAAGGAGCTATCATCTCTAGTTCCATCAACTAAAACTCATTCTCACTTGACTCGTCATTCAGTAAAGTCTCATTCTTTTACTGTATCTGTCCCTGCATGCACTAAAAACTTTTATTTGCCTTTATTTTTTTTCTTGCACCTCAACCCTTTGGAACTCTCTTCCATCTTCATATTTTTCTGACTCATACAACCTACAACTTTTAAAGTCTTCTATCAACCATTTCTTTGTTCTTTAACTCTTTTCTAGTAACTCCCAACTTAATAGTGGTTGCTTGCAGCCTTGTTGGGAGTGAATCAAAAGAAAAATTAAAATAATTGTAAATGCTGAAATTTAGAAAAAAGCAAAGTCTTTGAGATTTAGAAATAAAAGGAATAAAATTTATTGAACACTTCACCCAGGTGTCATATAGTATGAAGTAAATAAATCAGAATGCTTTATTCAACACTTTATTTAGTATCTTATACTATGAAGTAAATAAAAGTAATACTTAAATGCAAAATTTACTTTTTGAATATTTTGACTAATTAAAAAAATACATAAACTATATAAAACTATAACTCAATTATAATTTTTTGCAGTGTTTTAAACAATAATATATAAAAACAATTTTATATTGTTTTAAACAATAACATTTTAGAACATTTTTAATATTGTTTTAAAATAACACCCTCTGGCTTAAGTTTCTTCTTACTGATTATGCGTTGTCAACTCACCCAATTTAAACCACAAGATGCAAAATCCAATTAAATAAATAGATTTTTGAGATTATAAGATCACAATAAAAACTTGATATAATAAAAATCAACATTTACCTAAATAATGCATAAGTCCTCAATTGAGTAAATTGACAGACAGCATTTGTTGGCTAGCTGTTGCATTAGATACAAGAGCGACCAGCATTCCCTGCTATATATCATAATTTAACTTCATTTTTGAGACTTTGAAAAATAAGATCAACTTAAAATTGAAATTAACTTAAGATTGAGACCAATATGAGAAAATCAAGAAAATTGCGATCAAATTAAAAAGCAATTCTATAATATAAAATTTAAAATGACCCAAAAGAATTATATATTAGAACAACCAATATAGCCAAAATTCAACAATTTTAAAATGATCTAATTTTAATGAGGGTTACTCCTGAAAATATTTGACTAACTTTTGCAATAAATTATAGCAAGAAAAACTAAAATTACAAAAAATAAAGTTGTTGTTCCACTTGGATTAGTAAATCATTCAAGTTAAAAATAATCAATTTATACTAGTACCACAGAGTTCTTTGCTCGCCCACTCAAACCTAAAACTTTCGTGATGTTATTGTTAATCAATTTTTACTAGTACCACAGAGTTCTTTACTCGCCTACTAAAACCTAAAATTGATACCTTTAACACTTTAATTGCAACTGGTTCTTTTTTTCCCTCCTTCATCAAAACTCCTTTATGAACATCTGCAAACTCTCCGCTTCCAATTAGTTCACCAAAAACTATCTCTGATCTTTCAATTTCATACGCAAACTGTGAAACTGCATCAGAAACAAGCAAAAAAGTTTTAGGATCAACATACAGTTTTCCTCCTGAATAAAATCGAGCAGGTAACTTCACTAAAAAAAAAAATAATAATATCAAGCAGGTAACTTCACTAAAAAAATTTATTGAATACTCATTAGGGATTGTCCATAAAGTATGTACACTCGGAGGGGAAGAGGGGGTCAGCAAATGGCATATATGAGATGGGAGGGCAGTGGGTCAATTATAAAAAAGGTAAATAGGTTAAAAACGTAGGTACTTTTAGGGAGGTGGAGGGTACTCAAAAAAGTGTATTACAAAATGCATAGGAAGGAGGGGGGGGGGGAAGCAAACAAAAAAAAGCGTACATACTTTATGGATGACCCCTTATATACAACTTATAAATTATATTCAAAAAATATTTTTTTAATAACTAAAAACTTTGTAAAATAACATCAGAGGACATTAAAAAAAAATTGTAAATTGGTTGTTATTATTGGTGGTTTGTTAACTTATTGGGAAAATAGTAAATCTTTAAATTTAATCATTACTGCATTATGCATTGTATTAAATATTTATAACATTATATATTATAACTATGCATTTTTAACGGTTTGAAAATTAATTTAACGTACAATAAGGGACTTACAATTATGAAAAATTAAAGTAAAATTTAAAAAAAGAAAACTTTAAAGTATTTAAAATTCAAATTATTAAAAACTTTCTTTTATTTTTAAATTTTTGTTTTACATCTGTTGTGTCAGAGTGGATAATAAATGATCAATATCACAATTTTGACTTCCCGAAATATATTCCTTCCAGCAAAATATGATAGATTAAAAAAAAAAAATCAAAGTTTTGATAAATAAGGCTTTAAAAATAACCAGGATGTATTTTGAAAATAGATAACCTAAAATTTCATAAAAAATGTTGTATTTAATTAAGAACATATTTTTGTTGTTATATTTAACTAATAATTTTTTTTTCCAATACTACTTTGTTTTTTGTTTTTTTCATTTAATGTTTTAATTTATTAATCTCTTCAATTTTCACAATCAACTGCAATTGCAATGAATAATGTTTAAAAAAAATTATCACAAGGATTTTCTATTAAAAAATTTTTTTAATGATTTTATTATACTATTTTTTTTTTAGTGTAACAATATTAACAGAATTAACATACAGGTAAAAAAAATGTTTTTTAATTGACTGTGTAAAAAAAACAAAAACAATTGACCATTAAGTCTGTATCAGCCCACTTTTGATTTTTTATTTTCCATGCTGTTTATTATAACTGCTATATTTATTTATTATTTAAAAAAAACAAAAAACAGATCAGAAAAATACAAAGAATAAATTAATTTTTTAAACTTAATATTTCAATCACTTCTATGAATTGAAGGAAGAATAGTAACCTGTGTCATTTTTGTTTTATCATTTTACTTTAAGCAACCAAACAACTAAAAACTACCTGTGCCATCTTCCATTCTAACAACTTGGAGATACGCTGGATTTCTTTTTTTCCAAATGCAGAATGATGCTACTAAAACAACTACCACAAAAACAATAATGCCTGCTGCAATCCCTAGTGTCGTTACAGGAGACACACCTCCAGGAACCTTTATTTCAAAAGTATAGTCAGGTCCTGATAAAACTTTTCCAGCAATAATAACTTCAGTCCCAATCTAAAATAAACAGATAAAGCCATATAAATTAATGTAAATACAAATATACAAGTTGTAAATAAATACAGTTGTAATAAAATAATTATACTGCATTATTAAAAAACACTTGTTATTGTTACTTGTTAAAACTTTTTATTATTAGTTGATGCTTAATGTCGTTAGTTACTTTATTAAAATGTAAATTGTAAAACTTCTGAAAACTTCTCTTTTTCAAAACTGTACACTTCATAAAATTATTCTTTCAATGAACCATAAATATTTAATTGTTTTTCTGTTTTTTGTAAAAGAGACCTTTTCTTAAATTTTAAACGTTGTTAAAAATCACAAGCTCCTTCTCAACTTTCAAGCGTTGCTAAATATCATGAGCTCCTTCTCAACTTTCAAGAGTTGTTAAAAATCACAAGCTTCTTCTCAACTTTCAAGCGTTGTTAAATATCATGAGCTCCTTCTTCAACTTTCAAGCGTTGTTAAAAATTACGAGCTCCTTCTCAACTTTCAAACGTTGTTAAATATCACAAGCTCCTCAAATTTCAATAAGCTATGTGAGGTAGTGCCTTGTTTTGAAAAATCTTAATGTTTTAAACTTTTTACGCTTAGTTTTAAATTTATTAAAATTTTTATAGCTATGTTGCTTATATACTTATCTGTTTATATTTATTTTTAGTATTTTAGTTTTTTATACTGCTTTATGTTTAATTATTTTCATTTGTTTATTTTAGCTTTTCTGTTTGCTTTATTGGCTTTTTAAACCATTATTTTACTAAAAATTATTGAAATGAAATGACCATATAAAGAATAAATATAGAAATGGTTGGTGCTGAAAAAAAATTCCATATTTTATGGGTCTGAACAGCTGGTATAAATTAATTAGAAATAAATTAAATAATAAAAAAATTTAAAATGATAAAAAAAGAATAAAGAACAAAAGTTTTAAGTTTTCAAAAATAAAACTCTTTTAAAAAAAATTGTGAATGAACTTGTTTGAAATTGTGAATGAACTAGTTTGAAAATTATGATGAAGAAAGGTTTCATAACTTAAACTGATTGATTAGGAGGAACAACAGATATTGGCTTGATTGTGTCAATATGTTTCAATCTTCTTGTTCTATGACTGACTTGCTAACTGTTAACAGAAATGTTTTAATGTGCATTATATGTCCATATAATGGGTTTTCATTGAGACAAAGATTGCAAATTTTAGACGAAGGATTATATGTTTGGCAGCGCTTGATAATTTTCCATTTAATAACAAACGAAAAGTTTTCTTCTTTAAGTTTCCAAATTTCTTTAGATAACTCCGTATCATTGCTGTACTTAATTAAATTAAAAGATTTTAAATGATTTTATTGCTCTTAACATATTAAAAGATCTAATCATTTTAATTTTCAATCTAATTCATTACGAAATTCTGTAGTAATATTTGGTTTTATTCTTCTAATGGTGTTCTTTCCCTTCTAGACAAGATTTAAAACACATTGAATTTTTATCTTTAAATGGTTGCGTCAGCCCAAAAACCATTAGGAAAAAAATCATAAAATCAAAAAAATCACATCATAAATGAAGTCAGCCATAATAAAAGAAAGTAATAAAAGAGAGGATGTGTCTGATAAAGAAAAAAAGTTTTGGTGAGATCATAGCATGATCTGAACCATTTAAAAAAAAAAAGCTGAAATTAACGTAAAAGACAAGACACAAATCACAAAGTGAAGGTATGAGATTGTCATGAGAGGGTTGTCTGGAAATAGAGTCAAAGTTAACTATTTAAATAAGACAAAAATATTAGGATTTTATTAAGGTTTTTAATAATTAAAGAACTTGAATCAATTATAGATAGTGCATGCAGGGGTGTACATTTATGGTTGTCTGGTGGCACGGGATGACTTGTTTACTCTAAGGGCAACTGAAACTTTCATTTTTTACGACATTTGCAATTCAAAAAAAAATAGAAGTTTTTGCAAATGCAGGAAAAATTTGTTAGACAGCACCATGACTGGTTTAGATCTCTAGCATCATCAATCAAGAAACAAGAACAGCATACCACCATGTCAAACTGAGTAAGATATTTGGAAGACTCTGATCAGAAAAAAAACCAGACAATATACCAACTTACAACTAGAATAGATGACCTACAGAAGGAAGTACTAAAAACACAAAATTCAAACACTTTGACAACCCATTCTAGCTGTTCAAATAAACAACCAATATCCACATTTGCATCGTTATTCAGTAAAAAAAAAGAGCAAGGAAGAGTTAGTCATGATCACTAAGATAAGGCAGGAGCTTGATGAGAGCAAGCGTATTGAAAATAAATTTGTAATAAGCAACATTGAACCATCTCAGGGATCTGAGGTTGAGATTAAGTATAAAGATGATCAGTTAGTAAGAGAAATATTATCAGTACTGCAAGTAAATAACGATACAACATTTAAATCATTTAGATTAAAGTCTGGGACAGAAAGAAAGATAACAAAAATGATCATTGTTGAACTTAAAAGTAAAGAACTAGTCAATTTAGCACTAGCCAATGCACGCAAACAGAGAGACACTGAAAAATTCAAAGATGTCTATGTTATATAATATCAAGAGTTGTATTGATATAATAATATTGTATAACAGTTGTACAGCCTTAAACGAAATCACCTGTTTCTATACAAATGCTTCTTCACTTTGTAATAAAATGGACATTCTTGCTGCAACTGTCACAACTATATTATATAATATCAAGAGTTGTATATCAAATAATAGAGTTGTTAGCAACTGAAAAACTTAGTGTTTAATACTAAGCATTTTCAGCCAACTATCTGTAACAAAAACACCATCTTAAATATCAACAATAAATCTAGTAGTAATAGTAATTATACAGCCTTAAGCGAAATCACCTGTTTCTATACAAATGCTTCTTCACTTTGTAATAAAATGGACATTCTTGCTGCAACTGTCACAACATTAAATTCCCCTATGATAGTAGCAATTACAGAAACTTGTTTTAATGACTACTCTAGCTTCCAGTTACCAAATTACAATCTTTTTAACAACAACAGACCTGACTCATATGGTGGTGTTGCAATTTATTTACGACAAGATATACAAGCATCCTACCTTAATGCAATTGAGCTTCATAGTAAAATACCAGGCCAGGTATGGTGTATAATATCTTACAAAAGTAAGAAATTCCTTTTTGGATGTATTTATCGAGAGCCATCTGCTAACATAGAACTTAACAGAACAATTAATTGTAGCTTAATTTCTGCTACAAATATAGCAAAGAAAAAAGGCATGGAGTTACAAATTGGTGATTTCAATCACCCTCAAATATAGTGGACGACAGCTGGTGGCAGCGCTAAAAGTACAACTATGTCAAGCACTGACTTTTTGGAGTCTATAAACACTGCAGCTCTTGCACAGCATGTCACGAAACCTACTTTTGGCAATAATACCCTTGACCTGGTGCTTACTGACTGCCCCTCCAGAATTATAGAACTCAATATTGGTCTATCTCTTGGCAGCTCAACTAAAAATAATTTCCATTGCACTCTTATATAGAGTTTCTTATTTGAACCATTAATTTTCCCTACTAGGCTGTTATCACTAACCAAACCAAACTATGCTAGAGGTGATTATAAAAACCTAAACAAATTTTTTACAGATACAGAATGGAGAAATCAACTTGAAAAACTCAAAACCAATCCCATTGTAATAAACCAACTTATTGAGTTTCAATACAAGGAAGGTATGTATGTATGTATGTATGTATGTATGTATGTATGTATGTATGTATGTATGTATGTATGTATGTATGTATGTATGTATGTATGTATGTATGTATGTATGTATGTATTATGTATGTATGTACCAAATCAAGTTTCATCAACTCAAAAACAGAGATCATAACCAAAATGGTTTACAGCAGGTATTAAAATTCTAACAAAAAAGAAATTTAACCTTTGGTCAAAACTGCTAGCCAGCTCACCCAATATTCATCTATTTATTAGCCTAATCTACAAAGCAATTTGCAAGCAGTTAAAAAAAGATATCCTTGCTGCACATAAAAGTTACGAATCGAAATTGGCCTCACTTTCAAAATCTAATCTAAAATTGGTATGCAGTTATATTTTCAGTCAAAAAAAAGCAAAGTTTACTGTTCCCTCATTGATAAATTGAAAAAAATCGAAATTCGCCTCACTTTCAAAATCTAATCTAAAATTGGTATGCAGTTATATTTTTAGTCAAAAAAAAGCAAAGTTTACTGTTCCCTCATTGATAAAAAATGGCATAGAGCTAACAAAAACGCTTGAAAAAGCAGAATGTCTTAATAAACAGTTTGAGTCTTCTTTTTCTAAAGTTGACCACAAGGACAAGTTCACATTCTCAAGCAGGATTGATCAGGTATGCAAGATTGATCAATTCGATCTTAATGAAAATGCGGTTTTTGGCGAGTTAAGTAAGTTTAAAAAATATAAAGCGATTGGCCCAGATGGCATAAGTACTTATGTTCTCAATGAGTGTGCTGTTGGATTAGCTTGGCCTATTTCCTTTCTAATAGTGTCATCATTTGAGACAGGTATTATACCAAATATTTGGAAAGAAGCGAATGTGATACCAATATATAAAGAAAAAGGTAAACAAAATGACCAATCTGAATATGGACCAATATCTTTAACAGCCATAATATGTAAAATCATGGTAAGATTGTTGAAAAAACATATGATGAGCCACTTAATTCAGTACAAATTAATCTCTAAGCATCAACATGACTTTGTAAGACAAAAATCATGTGTTACAAATTTACTAGAGACAGTAGACATTGCATCAGAGGCATTGAACCGTAGACTTTAAGCAATCATAATATATCTGGATTTCGCTAAAGCCTTTGATAAAGTCTGTCATGAAGCGTTATTTGTCAAATTAGAGGCTTATGGTTTCAAAGGTAAATTACTGAGATGGCTAAAAGCATTCCTTCTGGAAAAGAAAACAAAGAGTTCTTGTTGACAATAAATACT